CAGGAATGTAGTGTAGTGTATTTTTATTTACATGTCCATGGTTGCTGAAGTCAAAATATTTCATTCTCCATTCATACCACTGGCAGAGTTGAGGATGCTATGGATTTGTCTAGAGCTCTGTGTAGTTCCCCAGCAGTAAAGCAAGAAGTGTGATCACAGGCAGGTACATGCTCCCCACTCTGCAGGACTTGCCAACCCATGATGGTAGCTTGTCCTTAGAAGCTCCCTGAGTTACTGCTCTCTCTTTGCTGCGTCTGTGAGAGGGACGGGACCTCGCTGGTCTCTCCCTGTATGAGCCCATGGGGGCTGTGGACAAGGTGCAGTTGCCTTGCTGCATCACGTCTTTAAACTTCTTTTCTCAGCTTTGCTGGAGGCTTTCTCCAGATCAGTTTCCTACTCTAGTTATATGGATGAGTACCAATACATCCTTGTAACTGGTAATAATTTGAATCCACGTTCCCCCATAACCGGAGCAGTAACCAGCCGTTAGTGGAAGAATGGTCAGCATCCTGACCTGCTTAGAGGCAGGCAAAAACTAGCTTCTACTTTGCCCTCAGTTCATTTCCTAAACCAAGCTGTCACAGGGGCCACACTAGATCTTGAAAGCTATTCCCATGGTGATCCAATGAAGATAGCTCAGGAGCTGCTGACCTTCCCTTAGAGAGAGCATTACTGGAGGGAACAAGTGCAAGTCCTGTCCTGTGCCTGCAGCGCTCTTTGCCACTTCCTCCCTGCTGCACGGTGTGCCTTTGCTCCTCTTTCCCCAGCAAACAAGAGCATGGGGAAGATTGTAAGACTCAGCTATTTTCTTCCTAATGTCGAGACAAAGCCTTCCTGCGTGGAGATTGCAGGGAGCACTATGCATGCATTTGCAACTCTCCAAATGAGAATTGAATTTGACCCTGTAAATGTCTCTTTCTGTAAAAGATATTTAATTTAGTTTAATGCATTATGACAACTTTAGGTGCTGTTGAGGTATGCGTAAATCATGATAATGTGGAATTGTAGTTAAAATGATGGAAGTTGTTCACACTGCAGAAGGTACCAGAGGTCACTGTCCGGTAGTCACAAGAGCCAGGCTAGCTCACCTGATACTCTAGGTCTTTTACATCTGAGTTACATGGTTCTATTTTATTGCATGTGGGGGTACAGGTTAAGATCAGATTGTTATCTTGGCCATGTCACCTGTATTTAGTTATACAAAAGTAAGCAGGCCCAAGGAATTTTCTTCTGACATTATTATTCTGTATTTTAAGGCATTTCGGAGTAAGCAGCTCTGAATGTAGCAGTGACCCCTTTACAGCTTTCAAAATGAAAGATCTCTAAAGCCATACTTTTTTTTACAAAGTACCAAGCTGAAATGAAATTCCCTAAGAACAGTCAGTGTCTCCTGTGTTCCTTTGCACTCTTTTCCGCTTTGGGCACAAAATAAAAAGTGTATCTTGGTTGTGTATAATTAATGTCATGGAACTGTGATCCTGGCATGACATGAGCGGTATCACTGAGAGCAGAAGGTAAAAAGAAATCATGATTGCTCAGCAATTTACACGGGAGAATGAAGGGGAAAGGCATTTTAAATTAACGGTTCTAAGGCCTTGATGTTGCCCTGCCACATTTC